TCCGCTGACCCCCTCCCCTCGCCCCAGTGCGCCTTGCGTGGGGGTTGGGCAGAAAGCCCCCAGCGCCGCCTTGCTGGGCCCATTGGTGTAATCTCCGTATCCCTTGCCTCTCACTGTCCCATCTTTCACCATCAGCCCCTCCCATCCCTGTCCCCGTCCTCTGTCTCTGTCCTCTGTCTCTGTCCTCAGCACTGTCTCTGTCCCTATCCTCTTGGCTGTTTCTTCACCAGCTACCTCCTCCTCCCAGTCTCTCTCTCTCTCTCTCTCTCTCTCTCTCTCTCTCTCTCTCTCTCTCCCTCTCTCTCTCCAGCCCGGTCTTCAGCTGTCAGCTGTTGCTATGCACTGATGCTGTGGCTGAGGTTGTGGTATGACCCACACCTCGACAGCTAGAGATAGGGACAAGCAAAGAGATAGGAACAAACAGAGATAGGGACAAGGAGAGAGATGGAGACAAGCAAAGAGACAGAGAGGCGCACACCCTGAGACACCCACACACATGCACCCAGCCATGCACACAGAGGCAGGCCACAGCACGGAGGTGAGCGCACAGGCAGAGTGAAACACATTCACGCAGAGGCCAGAACACGCTAGAGGCACACGGAAACAGAGGGACACAGCTGGCTCACACGCACTCAGGAGCAAACACAGACAGAGACAAATGCAGTTGCACCAAGAGACAAGTACACCCCCCAGGTGTTCAGAGCCTACCCTGCTTCCTTGCCTTGGCAGAGAGGCAAGCGTCCGGACAGAGATGGACACACAGGTGTACGCTGGCACTGCCAGTCCAGAAGACAAGCCCGGTGCGTACAAACAGATAGATATAGGGATGTGACAGACACTCACACAAAAGATCAGGGAGGCTGAGAAGCTGAGGCAGCCAGGCAGCCAGGGGGCAGGAATCTGGGTGCAAGAGGAACAGAGAGGAGAAAGGGACAGGAGTGGCCAGGCCAGAGGCTCCAAGGCTCCAACCAGAATCCTGAGCCCAGGCCTCAAGCCCAGGGGTGTGGCAACAGTGGGTGGGGCAGTGGACACACTATGGCGTTGGGTGCCCAGGACAGATGCCCATCACCAGGGTCTCGATCTTCTGGAGCCCAGACCCACCCCATCTATCCTCCTTTTGCTACCATCTCAGGTTACCCGCTTCTTCTCTCACACACACACACACACACACACACACACACGCACACGCGCACACACACACACACACACACACACGCCACTCCCTTCCTCCCTTCTCTGGGTCTTTGCCTGTCCCTGTATTTCTCCATCTCTGTATCTGTCTCTCATTCTGTCTATATCACCTCTGCCCCTGGTTCTGCCCGTTTCTCCCTCCTGCTAGACCCTCTCCTTGCTGTTCCTGGGTGGGGTGGGGGGCAGAGAGAGGATGCTGACTGGAGGGGTGTGCCTTCCAAGCCGCAGCTGGGGGCCCCTCTCGCTTTGCCCAGGATCTTGAGGCGACAGGCAGAGAATCAGTGGCTCCCCGGGGGCGCCAGATGTACGGCTGGCAGAGGGAGCGAGTGAGGGGGTGGGGCTGGTGATGGTGTGGTGGGGGAGCAGGCGGGGCGCAAGGGGAGCAGAAGCGCTGGGGGAGGGAGAGGAGCCGCTGGCGGAGGGTGGAGGGGGTGTGGCAGAATAGCCCCTGGGAAGAAAGGGAGAAGCTGGGCTGGGGTCCGCCCGCAGGTGCATAATTAGTGTGTGTTGGGGAGGGGGCTGTGCTGGGCTTCAGGATGAGCAGCTCCGCAGGAGTACATGCGCCACCTGGTGGACAGATGGGTGCACAAACCTCCCTCTCAAAGATCAAGGACGCCCCTTCTCTCAGCAGGATCCCTCTGCCCTTGGGCCCTTTGGGGGAGACGGGGCAGTGGAAGCTCTCAGAGGTGGCTTGGAGGCCGAGGTTGGAGGTGAAATCTCAGAGGGGAACGAAAAGCAGTGCTCCCCCTTTGGGAGTTGGGTAAGGGGCCTTTGCAGCCAGCCTAAGCTCATATTTCCTGTTGAGGGGAGAGTGGGACTCAGTGTAAAGCTGTGTGACCTGCAAGACGTCCCCTTCTCGGGTCAGGGGTTGAAGTAGTCCGGGGGTCCCCTTGATTGTAGCTGTCCTTTCCTGTCCACCCTGGGGCGTCTAAACTGATGGATAAACTAGGTCTGTTGGCGGCCCACAGGGCCTGGAACACTGGTTTTCCCTGCTCTCCTTCACTCCAGGACCCCCTTCTCCTGAACCCAGGGTTCTGCTCTTGGCATCTGATTAACTGGTCTCCATGACATGTGCGATGGTAGCGCGTTAGGAACAACTTCAGGCAGAGAGCTGTATGGGACCACGCTGGAGGATCGGAAACCCGCTCACAAACCTAGTGGGTTCATTTCTCATGGTGGGACTGCTCACTGTGGGGGATCATTTGGGTAGGGGTGGTGGTGGTGTCCCATCAAAGTGACGGTGCAGAGAAACAGATCCTGGAGTTAGCATCCCAGAGCCAAGAGAGGTGAAGTCACCTGCTCAAGGCCACACACCGGGAGAAGCAGATCTTTCTTGTCAAGTCCAGTGTCACCCCTTCTCCTGCCACTGCCCGGGTGGAGGCGGGAAAAGGGCACTCCGACTCTCAAGCCTGCCTCCAGCATGGCGTGGAGCGGGGCTCCCTCTGGTGGCTGAAGCGAGAAAGCACAGCCCAGCTCCCAGAATCTCACACTCATAGGTAGTAGACACAAGTGGCTTTTTTCTTTTCTTTTTTTTTTTCTTTTTTACAATTTTATTTATAACAATATCTGTTATTTAGTTGTAAAGGAATTCAGCAAAAATTATTAAAACGTTCCTGTTCCCAAAACGGGGCTGCCCGCTTGCCCTTCCTTGGTGGGCCCCACCTCCTCCCCAGGGGAGGGGAGTCTGGGGGACTGTTTACCAAAGTCTCCAGCCCCGGGAGCCATGTGGGGGCACTGGAGATGGGGTGCCTGTCTGGGAGGGGTACTGAGCATGGCCATCTCAAGGCTGCCCCTAGAATGGGGGCTGTGGGCATGGGATGGATGCCCCAAGAACTAAAAAACTCCATCCTTCCCTTCCTACCTCAGCCAGAGCCAAGTCCTCCAGACAGGGGCAGCGAAGGACTCTCCGCCCCAGAATCAGCCCTTGGGGAGCCAGGAGGGTAAAGGGGGGGACCGCAGGGAGAGCCCTGACAAAGTGTCTTGACCAGGAAGGGGAGGCAGCACCACCAGCTCTCCCAGTGGAGGTGCATTTTGGTGGGAAGATGGGAGGTGGGGGTCCCTCATACCTGTGAGCCAAAGGAGCCCCCGGAGCGCTCCATGCCCCCCCCCTTCCCCGAAGGCAGCACTGGGGAGGGAGTGCTGAGGAGTGGGCAGGAAGGAGAAGAATGAAAAGAGATAATACTGTGCTCGCTCGCTTGCTCACTCACATATAAAAAGTAATTCCTTCATTTTTACATTTATACATCCCGGCAGGCCGGGGAGGGCTGGCGGGCAGGAGGGGCTCACGGAAGGACTTCTCTGGCAGGGGCAGGAGGCTCTCGGGGAAAGTCCGACGGGGCAGGGCCGGGCCTACGCCAAAGGGTCCCCTATCTCATCCTCAGGGCCCCGGCCCAGGAGTTCTCTCTTCTCATCCGTGCTGGCCAGGGAGTGGCGGCTGCCGTGGCCCCCCATGTAGAGTGTGGCGTACACGGGGTTGGTGAAGTTGGTGGGCTGTAAGGTGACAGAGGGTTCCGGTGGGACTCAGAGGCTGGGCTCTATGGCCTTGGTATCCCACCCCCCAAACACCCCGAGTCATCCCACCCACAGCCTCTTCTCCCTGCCCAAGCAGCCGCCTCCTGTCCTCCCGGCCCACCTTGTCAGGGTCCAGGGCAAAGTCAGCATCCAGGAGGCCTCCCACATCATCAGGCTCCCCGCCTTCGTACATCTTGTAGGTAGGGTTCCCGATCTCCACGTTCATGGCCCCGTTGGTCATCCGCTGGTGCTGGAAGCCCTTAGCCCTGGGGAGAGGCAGGGGCACAGGGGCAGGGATTCTAGAGGTGTAAGGCCAGGGTGGGAATGACCAGAATTTCCCAGACTCCCCATAACTCACCCCCGGACTCGCCGCTTGTACCAGAATACCACTCCCGCTACCAGAAGCAGCAGTAGCAGCAACAGCAGGGGGATTAGGATGGAGGCCATATCTGGAGGGGAGGAGATGGGAGACAGTTCAAAAGGCACAGGAAGCAAGCCTCCCCCCACCCCCAATTCCAGGTCCCGGCAGCCATGCCTCCCCACCCCCTGCCACCTACGTGCAGGCTGCTGTTGGCTGACCACTTGCTCTTCACATCGGGGTCCTGCCATGTGGGGTGGGCACCTGCAGACAGAAGGGCAGAGCTGAGCAGGCACGACTCGAGCCATGGCTGCCAAGGAGGTGGAGCAGGGCCATGGGATTCTGATGGTCCCACTGAGATTTGGGGAAGGGGATGGTCTAGGCCTGGGCGAGGCTCAGGCCCAACTCACTGGCACTCAGGCATCATTTTGCTGTTCATGGTGCAGGAACCGCCATTGCTGCAGTGGCCAACGCAGGTCAGACAGCTGGGGGCCACCCGACCATCCGTGCAGCTGCAAGAAGAAGTGAGATGCTGGGCAGGGCTTGTAGAGGGGTGTCTGAGAGGCTGGGGCAGGGCAGGGCAGGGCTGGTAGAGGGGTGTCTGAGAGGCTAGGGCAGGGCAGGGCAGGGCTGGTAGAGGGGTGTCTGAGAGGCTGGGGCAGGGCAGGGTGGGGCAGGGTGGGGCAGGGCTGGGAGGAGCAGATGGGGGCAGAAAGCTGGGACAGGGCAGGATCTAGCCAGGCACTCACTTGCAGGTGACGTCCCCACTCTGCCTGTTGACCGTGCAGGTTCCGTCGAGACAGCGGCTGCACTTATTCACTTCACACCGGGGCCCCTCGAAGTGGTTGGTGCAGCGGCACTGCCGGGAGCCGTCAGCAGCCATTTGGCAGGTGCCAGAGTTCTCACAGTAGCCAGAGCACTGCCCTGCGGTTTGGTGGGTGGACAGGAGATGCCTGAAACCCCACCCTCATGAGGGTCTTCCATATTGTGTGTATGTGGGGGGAGCTGGACACCCCAGGTCTTCTGGGTGATCCCACCTCATAGGCTCCAGGTACAGGATGTCCCTGAGCATCCTGACAGGCACTGCTGTTGCGTGACTAATCCTGATGCCAGAGGGCTCCTTGCTCAGAGGAAGCGTCCACACCCCCACCAGGGAGCACCAGCTGCCTGGCCTGGCTGAGCTACGAATGGCCTTCCTCCCTGGAACGCACGCCTGTGGCTCCCCTGCCAGGCTCTGGGCCCTCAGCTCCCCTCGCCCTTCCCCTGGGCCCCGGGGTGGCTAACTCACGGAACTGGCAGCGGTCCCCCAGGAAGCCGGGCAGGCATCGGCACTGGGGCTGGTTGCCCTGGTTGACAGTGCAGGTGCTGTTGTTGGCGCAGTAGCCCGCACACATCTGCTGGGTGCACTTGGGGCCGGTGAAGCCCGTGGGGCAGCGGCACGTGGGCACGCCTGCGGAGAGGGTGTGTGAGCGGGACCG